TTAAGAGAGAAGAGGGAGATGAGAGATGCACAGACGGCCTTCCAGTGAGGCCTGCTGCTGCCGAAGCCCTTACACAAACACTCACGACTAACACTCAAGACACAAACTCACTCAAACTCATTTACTAGGTACTAAATACTGGTGGGAAACCTAAAGCTAGTGTGTGGAGTTCAATGCAAAATGGCTTTTATGAGAATCAAACAACTATTATTTCATGCACGAAGTTCTCAATAAAACATGGCAGGTTTTTATAGATTAACTTCATTTTGAAGAAATATGTGTTTGAGGCTGATAAGTGAGTCTTCAAATTCATACTTCAGGCTAAAAAAGGTTAAAACACCAACCATACAAACTCAACAGGACTGAGGGACATTAAACGTTCAGCTTATGTTGACTTAATGTATCAGAAAATACTAATCACTATATGGATGTACTAATATCAAAACATTGATAAGTGGATAATTATTTTTATATGCTAACTGATGTTACTCAAAATATTTTATATTTTAAATATATCAATATAGATACTAAAATTCTGTTATTTTATAAAGCATAAAGTAAAATATAACAATGAAAAATTAAATTACAAATAAAATAAACACATTAAAAATGTAAAACACAAAATATATGTGAATTTAGGAATCAAAACATTTTAAGTATGAAGAACGGATATTCATTTGCAAGAGGTTACATTTAACCATTATTAAACGATTATTAATAATATAAAAATGTCATATAAAAATAAATATTAAAAAAATTAAATTAAATTAAGGAAAATGAGAATGCACAATTAAATATCCAATACTGACCAATAACAATAAATAAAACAGTTTTAGCTTTAAATAATTAAAACTATGTACACAAGTTTTAAAAACAAAAACAAAAAGGATGCACTCACTCAGAAAACCTTAGCAAACACATAGCGATAAATAAAAATCACTTCTGACACCTTTGAGAAGATAATAACCTGCCACTTACCAGCATGGCTATCAACAGAGAGAGCCCTTCAATCTCCATTCTCAGGCCCTAAAGGGGCAGTTAGCTTGACAGTATTCATACACTCTGAATGACGGCCGCTGGACATCTGCAATAGTTCTTCTCGACCACTCGAGGGCAGTGTTAACAAAGCAAACCTCTCAGCAGTAGACGCGTTCATGCTTCTCACAGAAGTGCAACTATTTATTTGTTTGAGCATTAAACGTCTTCACTATTAGACTAAAAATATGCAGTAAACAGATGCATACGTTTCTATGCTAAACATACTGATGTAAACGGATCGTCTTTGACGTTTAGTGACTAAACGAAAGAAGGAAAATAATCTGCGGAGGGAGGAGGCAGAAGAGGCTGTTTCAGTAGTTTTTCGCCACCCTGTCGAGTCTGTATATGTGGTTGTGACCCGCACTTATTACCGCCTCTTGACCTTTGGTCAGTGCTCAGACCTCAGGCAAGACCTCCCGCTGTTTTCAGAGGGGCTGAGGAAACCATCCATCCAGCACGACCGGAAATCTCCACGCTGATGACCAGAGCTGCCACACAGAGCGCAGCCGCAGAACAACACATCTGCCCAGGGTGCAACACTGACCCACCCACGCCAATAAAAATAACACAACCAAATGAGATACAGCTCATTCAGAGTCTGACAAGTGGCCTAGCAGATGCTCTGATACACAAATGCAGCTGGCCACGTTTTTTTTCTCAATACAGTTTTTCTGTTCTTTCTCTACTGTCTGTATGAATAAAAGTGACCAGAAGGCCTAAACATACAAGAGAATTAAAGGAATAATGCACCTAAAAATAAAAATGTATTATCTTCATGTCGTTCCAAACCTGTATGACTTACTTTCTTCTGCAGAATACCAAATAATATATTTTAAAGAATGTTTGTAACTAAAATGCTTCAGGTCCCATTGACTTCCTTTGTCATTTTTGTCTACACAATGGAAGTCGAAAATTAAAATATTTGGTTAACAACATTCTTCAAAATATCTTCTTGTGGATGTCAATGGAAACGGAAACTGTTTGATTAGCAAAATTTTGTCTTTATTGTTCTGCAGAAGAAAGAAAGTCATACAGGTTTAGAACGACATGAGAGTGAGTAAATGATAACAATTTTCATTTTTGGGTGGACTATCCCTTTAAGCATTACTAGGTTGATTTAATTGCATGGGACAACATTAATTTAGTGATACAAGCAGCCTGTTTATAAACACATGCATGAATGATGTGAACTACTAAACACTTGTGGCTTAGGTAAGGACTTTTTGAGCTGGTTTTGGGGAGATTTTTGTTTCCGATTTAGCCGTGACCCGTCTCTGACCTCCCTGTGAGAGTGGATCGCTGCGGGGTCTGGCATGAGACACTCCACTGACTGTCCCAGAAACCATGCGCTGATACAACAGGAACACTTGAGCATGTGTGTGTGTGTTTTCCCAGGCTGACTGAGGGAAGGATTAGAGGGTCTAGGGATGCTCAAGGCCTCTTTAACTCACAGTAGCACTGAGGTCATGACTGTTCATTTCACCTCATCTCACACAGCAGTGGTAGCGCTCACTCTGCTGCTCGCCGTCTGCCTTTTCTGCTAAACATCTTCAGTAACACCCGTTCACTTCCACTCCACCTGACTTCCTACACAATAAAAGCAGAGGTGCATGGTATATTGGCTTTTTTTATTTATTATCCTTATTGGTGTGATTAGAAAATTACTGGAAGCAGACGATACCACAACTTGTTCTTTACATAGGCTACATTTTTACATATTTCCTATGGAAAATCTGGAGTACCAAATCAAAGGAGTAGGTACGCTTTTTAATGTTTTTAAAAGAAGTCTCATGCTTGCCTAGGCTGCATTTATTTGATCAAAAATACAGAAAAAAATAGTGGTATCTTTACATTACAATATATTTTCTATTCTAATATATTTTAAAATGTCATTTATTCTTGTGATGACAAAGCTGCATTTTCAAAAACCAATATTAAGTCTTCAGTGTCACATGATCCTCTAGAAATCATTCTAATATGCTGACT